TTATATATATATATATATACATATATTTTATATATATATATATATATATATATAAAATATATGTATATATATATATATATATATATATACATATATTTATATATATATATATATATACATACATACATACAAATTGTTGTTTATCTAATTGATGAGATGTGGTATTTTTTAAACGTCGGTCTAAATAGTCTTTAGCTTATTTAATAAATTAGCCAAGGACTATTTAGACAGATTCTTTTTGACATAAAAAACCTTCAAAGATGCTGTTAATAATGCTTGGGCTGATGTTAGAGTTTGGTTTTATTTGAACATGCTATGTTCAAGACTCTTTTTAATATTCCATAAAATTGTTTCTGCTGTAACTACCATCAACAACAAACTAATTGGACCTGACTTATTGAAAAACTAATTGGACCTGCTAAAGTTGCATCTCTTTATCGAGCTCGACACTTTCTTACTCTCCATCTTATTCTCCATCTCTATAAGTCTCAAATCCGGCCTTGTATGGAATACTGTTGCCATGTCTGGGGCGGATCTTCTTATGATGCCCTTTCTCTTTTAGACAAGGTGCAAAAATGCATTGTAAACATAGTTGAACCTGCTCTTGCAGCCAACCTTCAACCTCTGTCACATCGTCATAATGTTGCTTCTCTTTCTCTTTTCTACAAATACTATCATGGGCACTGCTCTAAAGAGCTAGCGTCTCTTGTGCCTAGTGTTGCAAAAAAACGCGTTTTTTTGCTTTCCCGTTTTTTTCACCCAAAAAAACGTGTTTTTCTGTTTTTTTTGGGGTTTTTTTGGGTTTTTTGGCGTTTTTTTGGTTTGGGCGTAGGTTTTTTTGGTTTTTTTAAACTCTTATGGTATATTTGTTTACTAATTTTGTGTAAACAGAGTGTTTAGCCAAAGTGGTAATAATCCTAATCAAAAAGACAAATAAAAATATTTGTCTTTTTGATTAGGAAAATGGCTAAACAGTTATATATATATTTTTTAAATTTCAAGGTTTTTGCCTCTAAAAAATTATTTATTTTCCTTATATTAAACACGAAAATGATCACCTTTTTTTATTTTGCAAAGCAGTGTTTTATATAATAAATATATTTCTTTCATATAATAAAAATATTTATTTAGATAATTCTGATTCATTCCATTAAATAATACATTTATTATTATTCAAAAAAAAATTATGGATTAATGAAAAATTTAATGAACATAAGTTGAAGAAGTTGAAAAATCATTTTGTAATTTTAAAACCAGTGACAGATCCAGGGGAAATGAGTAGTATGAACCTACCACTCCGCACCAGAATCCATAAATTTATAAAATATCTTTAAATTTTTTAAATTTTTTTTAGTAGGCAAAAATGTGATACAAAATAAACTAAATTTTTAACAAGCCCCTATTCCCCCTCACACCTACACCAAAAATTCCCGGATCTGACTTATTTTGCGATGCAGTGTTACTTCATTCATATAATAAATTCTTAAAACAGTTCAATATTAAAAAAGATACAATTCATGGCCTTTATTTATAAAAATTTACTTCTTTGTTTTTACTTATAAGAATTATTATTAAAAATTATTAAAAAAAAAAAATTGTTTTTCTAATTAATGCTGCTTTTTCAAATTGCTAAACTAAGACATTACTAAAAATATGGTAAATGGAAGTATTAAAACAAGTATTTAATAAATATCACCGAAAATAAATTTTAAAACCATTTCAGTGTTTAAATGCAAAAAGAGTAGTTTTTAAGGCAAAAACGCAAAAAAACCAAAAAAACCAAAAAATGAAGTCCTCTGTTTTTTTTGCCAAAAAAAACGTTTTTTTTGGCAAAAAAACAAGAACCAAAAAAACGACTTACATCTCTACTTGTGCCATCTACTAAAATTCATTCTTGTGTTACTCGTCTTTCAATTAAGTCTCATCCTTTTTCTGTTATTGTTCCTAAGTGCTCCAAAAACTCTTATTCATCTAGTTTTCTTCCTCGTACATCAGTTCTTTGGAATTCACTTTCTTCATCTTGCTTTCCTGATTCTTATAATTTGCAATCTTTTAAGTCGTTTGTTAATTGTTATCTTGCTCTACAATCTTCATCTTTTCTCTTCCAGTAACTTCCAACACTAATTAGTGGTTGATTGCAGCCTTGTTGGAAGCGAAGATGTTTGAAAAAAAAAAAAAAAAGAAGATAAAATTCAAATTTTATTTTTGTAATATAAAGTAAAGTTTGCCTAACTATGTTATATAAAAATTTATTTATGAACAAATGTAAGATTTTTTTTATAAACATAAATAGGAGTTTATTTATGAACATAAATAAGATTTTATTTATGAACTTAAAAAAAATTTGTAAACACAAATTATGTGTACAAATATCTTAGTGCAAACCTTGTTAAAATAAAAACTAATATTTTTAATTTAAATAACTTTTAAAATCAAAATTCTTTCTTAATTATAAGGAAATTTCTGTTTTAACTCTTTTGATATCATACAATTTGATAAAATAAAAAAACATTTTGTTATAAAATCATTAAAACGAAGCAAACAAACAAACAAAATTTAAAATATCAAAAGTGGCGTTATATAAAATTAAATTTGATGTGTACTTTATTTTTTAGCTAATCATTTTTTGTTTTATTTTTTAATTCTTTTTTAAATTAGGTGATTATTTTTCTTATTGTTTGTTATGAGAAATAGTCAAAATAAATATTCTTGCTCTTGCAAGATGGTAAATAATTTTTTTCTTTTTTGTCATGAATGTTATTGCAATTGAAATTTTTTTAAAAAATCCACCAACTTCTATGATAAATCTTCAACTAATTAATGAGTGCGACCTTAATATAATGATATTAATGAGTGCGACCTTTAAAAATTATAGAATCATGCCCAAACTTCAAAATTGTTATACCTACACATAATGTCACAAAATAAAATGGTACCACCAATGAAATTAAATTTTTTTTTTTTTTTTGCGACACCCTAATTGTGAAACATTGTAATGATAGAATGAACTGGGAGAACCCTAAAATGCTTTCTGTTATGACAATAACATAATTTAGCAATGGCTCAGCATTGGAAACCACTTTTTATAAAGTCAAAAAGTGTTAAATATATGACGTTGCAATGACATCATTTTTTTACGTTCATAATAATTTTTCAAATGGTTTTTTAAACAGTTTTATTAGTTTGATAATAGCTATATGAGCTTAAATATCCCGTAAAAATAGAAATTAATAGTCTGATACCATATATGATGTTTTGATGCTTGTATTATTATTACACATACTATTGAAGATGTCCTACAGTGGGAAGCTTTACAAGAATATTGTTCAATTGCAAGTAGAAAAAATAAAAAATAGTGCTGCTATTCTCTATTTTTATAAAAAATAATATCATACATAAATCTTTTAACCTATATTTAGATATTTAGCTTTAGATTTTGCTTCCCGCTGATATCGATTTTTAGATAATTATTAAAAAAATTAAAAATTCTTGTGCAAACTACATCAAATAAAAAAGAAAAAGTTTGAGTTTCAGATTAACTTTTTTGGTTACAAAATGCTATTGCTTTTTATTTTTAATTTTTTTTTTTTGCATAACAGTCAATAATACTATAAGAGTCAATATTGCTATAAATGACATTGTTGGAACTAATATGAAAAAAGTCATTTTCGAAATAAATCAATAATTGCATAATAAACTGCAATGCTTTTTAAAGACAAGAATTGTAATGAAAATGTTTTAATTAGATCGGACTAACTGACTGGTTTCTTGAATAAAAAATTAGTTTTTTATAAAATGCCATTATGAAAAAGTAAATTGATAATAAATTGATATAGTTGTATATCTTTTTCTCTGTCAATGCTAAGTCTTCCTATAAAAGCTATTTTTTTCCTGTTAAGACTCTTTTTCCTACTTGTAAAGAACTAATTTTGATAATATTTAAAATATAATATCTACTTTAATATATTTAAAAAATATTTCATTTTGTATAATTATTATTAATTTGTATTCAGGAGACATATTGCATTTGAAACCATTTGTTGCAGAGCGTCAGGGTGAGAGAAATGAGATGCAAGATACTACCTCTTTATTTGAAAACTGCACATCTGATTATCAATACAATCAGTGTGGATTGATAATGTAAGTATAATCTAAGACACATCTTTTATGTAAAAGTTTTTATGTTTTATATAAAGTATTAGTGCTATTATTGTAGTTGGCAATTATTACTATTACTTAATCAGGTGATTAAAAATTCATAGATCTTTGACTAAGTCATAATTATAGGTATAAATTCTTATTTATTGAAAAACTATAATTACTGAAATAGTAGGAAAAAAACAAACAACCAATGTATTACATTTTTTATTATTGTTATAATAATTCAGGTTGTCACAATTTTTAAAATCCATGTTTATACTTTTCAATAGTGTAAAAACAACTCAATATAATACAAGTGATCTACTTGTGTAGAACTTTTTTTCAAGTAATCTCTTTTGTAGAACTTTGTCTTTGATAATAAGAGTCAGCAAAGGAGTATTAAAATTTTAATTTTTTTAATTTTGATGCTGATTAATCCACTGCAATAAAATTTATTCTGGGCATACCAACTATTTTAACTTATATATACAAGTAAAGAAAAATAGTATTTAGTTGTATTTATGTTTTATGAGACTGCTACTATTATGTAAACTTTTGCATGTCTGCCAAAAACTTGTTTAAAGTTTTTAAATATTGACTTGCAAACTTTAGGTTCAGTGTCACAAGGTTTTGTGTGAGGATAGTGCTTTTTTCAAACAATTTTTTCAAAACTTTTTTTAAACAATTTTTTCTCATAAAATTTTAGAAACTGGTTTTTGATACTCACATTTTTCTACAGAGATAATCTGTTTGATTATAAGGAGTTGTCAACATTATTAAGTCACTATGGAAACTTTGTGAAAGTAAACTTTGTGAAATTTCTTGTTAATTTGGCTGTTATTGTATGCACTTGACATTAGAAGTAAAAAAGAAACTAATTTTCTCAGATATCCACCAGTGTATGAAAAATAAATTAAATTAGGAATACGGATTAATATTGAAACAGAAATTACATATTAGGAATAATAATATTTATTCTTACAATATCATTCAAAAACAGAGTTTAATATCCTGTGAAATCTGTTTAATTTTGCATTGATTTTTTTTTACCCGATGGCCCTTGGCTTGGAGAAAGAAGGAGGGAGGCATAAAGCATTTTTTTACAAATTCCAAATTTTGTGAAAATGCTTCATTAAATTTAATTCTAACTATCATATTTATGGCTATCATATTTATACTTACTATCAGTACTTTATTTTTATTCAGTACAAAATTTAATTAGGTTAATATAGGTAGTATTATGGTAGAACATAAATTTATATATATATATATATATATATATATATATATATATATATATATATATATATATATATATATATATATACATATGTATAACCTGCAAATACATTGCTGTATATCATTCATCATATATATATTTGCTGTCATACATAAATCACTAGACAGATGTCATCTCTTTCTAATACTAATTATTTTTTACTTTATATATATGTTCAGATCAAACAGTTCTACCTGATCTATATGCAAGAAAAAAAATTATGGTTAATTTTTAGAGATATTAGGAACAAGCATATGATTAATTTTTATTATATGATTGAGATTAGCCATTTTTTATTAAGATTATGTCTTATATAAAGTAACAAATTTTATCATTTAGAAATCGTGTTTCTTTTTTTGCTGTATTTGATGGTCATGGTGGAAAGAATGCATCACAGTTTGCTCAAGAAAATTTGCACGTTAATATTAATAAAAACTTTCCTAAAGGTTTGATATATTTTATTAAAGTTATTTTATTTTAGGTACAGTTTAGTTGAACCTTACTTTGGTTAGCAAGTTTGAAAAAATAAATTTCCTTGTACCTATTCATAAGTAATTTCTTATGAGTAACTTCTTACCTATATCTCTTATATTTAGAAGCTGTTTTAAATTTTGATAATGAACTAAAAAAGAGCATAATTAAAGCTTTTAAAGACACAGATGAAGCTTTTCTTTTACGTGCAAGTTTAGAGTAAGTAAAAACACTTCAACATTTTTAATATCTTTTTTTGTGAAGTAAATTTGCGGTTTGACAGTTTTTTTCTTCAAAAAAAGTCAATAGAAAAAAGTTTGTAAGAGTTTTTGGATTTTTAATCTTTGTAAAAAAAAAAAAAAAAAAGACAACTATTCTATTAAAATGAAAGTTTTCTAATAATTTAAAAAAGTATTCTATTCAAATAAAAATTCTATCATAATAATTCTGAAAAAATATGCTATTTAAATAAAAATTTATTTTCTAATAATTCAAAAAACTTCAATTATAACTTGCTAAAAAGAAAAATAAAAGGACTTAAAAGTGAAATTGAATTTTTATATGTTATTAGGTATATGATTGTTTTTAAGAGTATGAAAAATTTTAAAATCATAGAAAACGAAAAAAGTATAAATAAGTGTAGTTCCTTGGTGCTCTGGCAAAACAAAATGTGTTCTATATAATAAAATAACACTAGATGAAAGATATTGTTAAAAAAAATATTTTTAAAGGTTGCTCAAGATCATTGATTATTTAACAAATCCATTTGAAAAATAATGTTTTTCATACCTTCACAATTTGTTTTTTCTGTAAAAAAATATTTTCGCAATTTTTTTTTTTTTAATTTTTTTTTTCTTTCTAATTTTTTTGGTCATTCTAATTTAGTATTTTTTTGGTCAAAAGTTTTTGTCGAAGTTTTTTGTTAGGGGTAATAAAGTATGTCACACTAAATTTAATTTTTGAATAGAAGTTTGATATTTGCTCTTTATGTGCAGAGATTTTATTCAACATATAGCGCTTTTCTATTCAAATTCTCTGCATGGAAGCCAATATTATTTTAAGTTATATTTAGTTTGATTTACTGAATGGATAAAGTACATCACAGTAAATTTACCTTTAAACTAAATCAAAACAACCAACTAAGTTACTACAGTAACTTACAGCTACTCAACTTTTAACTTAATATACTTAAAGAATCACAAAAATTAGTCAAATAAATTTTTTTTTTTTTTTCAATTTTTATTTACCTCCTCAAGGCCGAGAAGGCCACTACAGACAAGGAGGCTACTTATTTGTGTTTATAAGCCTCTCTCAACTCTATAACTCCGAAACACGAACCTTGATGAACAAGACCGCTGCGCGAATAAATGAGTTGATTTATTTCTATTTCATTTTTATTCTATTTTCATTCTATTTATCATTTCTATTTATATCTTATATGTTGTCAACACATAGTATAAGTTCCAACTAAAGATTATTTTAACAAGAAATCTTGAATAGAATATAAAAAATGTGGTACCATTTTAAAAGTATTTTATATAAAGATCAAACATTTTTTATAAATATGCAAGTTGTTTTGAGGAATTTTATTTTTTTATTTAAAAAGAAATCTATTTGAACAAAATTTAGTCCTCTAAAACTCTCTTATTCAAATAATTTTGTGAATTTGAAATAAATTTTTTTTTTTTGAAAATTAAAATAATTTTAATGTTCAATAATTATAAATTTGATTAAGTGGTGTTGTAATTCCCAGTCTGTATAATATAGCAAGAATCGATGTTGAAAGTTAAATGTAGCTACTGTAACAATATCAGATTTAGAATAAATGAAGAAGAAAGTTTTATTGAAATTGTAAATGTTTTGAATAGTTTATTATATTTTATATTTTGAAAATACTTTTAAAAGTAGAAACATTCTATTGCAAACATTAAACCAGTGATTGCCAAAGTTATAATAAAAGTTAAGTTATAAAAGATTTAAATTAAAATTTATAATTTATTTTACTTCTGTTCAAAAAATTTAATCTAAAAAAATAATTTAAGTACAAAAAATTTACTTTAATTTATTTAACCTAAATTTTTTTGTTTTACTTTTTATTGCAAAACAATTTGAATGAAAAAATTTAGTGAAAACATCAACTTAAAAACCATCTGAATGAAAAACTTAATTATACTTAAATTTCTAAAAGAATGCTAGATCAAGAAACAATGAATTATCATTGTTTCTTGATCTAGCATCTAGTTTTAATCTTTTGTTTATTAAATACTTTTAAAACTTTCATCAAATAATACGCCTTAGAAGTTAAAGTGGTTAGGTCGCAGCAATTAGGTCCGTCTTGTTTTTTAAATAGTTTTAAAACTGGCAGTTTAGTGTGTCTTAGTGGTCAAAGTACAAGGTGAGGGTTCAAATCTTGTCTCTTGCATATTAATTTTTTCCAATTTTTTGAAATACAAATTAAAACTTTTTAGAGTTCTATTGTTGATATATAAAGATATAATATGCTATAAAAAACAAAAAATAGAGAATTTTAAAAAGCTTAAAATTGCAATAAACATCAAAACAGCTGAGAAATTATTTGCACTTACACCATGATAGAAATACTAAAGTTATTAATATGGTAATTAGTTAAGACTACGCGTTCAACGCACTTTAAAGAAAAAAACCTTTTATTAAAGGAAATAAGATTTAACATTTAAACTTTTATTTTCTTCAAAGTTAAAAAATGGGTTCCTAATAAGTTCTGGATGGTCTGGAAAAAAATTTAATAAAATCTTGATAGAAACATAAAGAAAAAAATTTATAAGTCTATACCGGTTTTTATATAGAAGTTTACAATTTTAAAATAAGTTATAAAGTATTGAATAGTAACTGGTAATTCAAAACAAAGATTTGACAGATTTATTTTCTACCACTAAATAGCGGTTTGCGCAACCACTACCAAAGTGTTAAAATTTTTTAAAGTTATGTTTTCAATTTTTTTATTCATAACTTTAAAAGGTAGACAATATGTATTGTTTTTCTACCGCTTATTTAAAAGTAAGGTTTAAGAATAGGAATGATTAGTGTATAATAGACTTACAGAGACCCATATTTTATGGGTCCGGAATGCTAGTATAGCAATTAAATACTCTTTAAAAATAATAAGTGTTTTATCGTAAGCATGAACATATTAAATAGTTTTCTATGACTAATTAAAGTGGTTGAAATATTTTAATATTTGTGTTTTTACTTTTTTACTCTTATTTTTTTAAATATCATCTTAAGTAAAAACAATTTTTTTAAATATCATGTTAAGTAAAAACAATTACTAAAAGTAATATCTTAATAGTATTAAATACGTTACTTGCTCATTAAACAATAAATGTAACCTAAACTTTAAATTATAACTTAAGCTGTAAATTATAACTGTAACTTACGCTATTTTAAACTCTGCCAAATGAGAAAATTATAAGATAATATTTAAATAGGAAAGATAATGTTTATTAACCCTCCCTCCCATCCTTTCCATTTGTACTACAAACATACAGTAAAAACATCAAGGTCACATTGACACCAAGGACACCTCAAGATTAAAGATACTGGACATTGAGAACCACTTCATAAACTTATTTTTTAATTTAAGGAGCCCGAAGACTTATTGCAATGTAAGAAAGATAATTAAAATTTTTGGAACTTATTTATTAGAGAATCAATGAAGCTACTTGTGGTTACAGATCAACCTGTTATCTTCATTTGTTTTTAATCATCATTTTCATCAATATCTTGTTGAGAATAAAACTGATTTTCAAGATAACAAAAGACAACAATATTATACAATTTTTAGTACAAACAAGTATATCAAAGACTTTCATTTAAGAATTTGTTGGAATAAGTTTATAAAGTTTATGTTGGAATAAGTTTATAACCTTCATCTTCATAAATCTGATTAATTATCCAGGAATAACATTAATATCAATGTTTATTAATTTATCAGCTAAATATTATTTGCCTACATCTTCTTCTTACATCTTCTTACATCTTCTTCTTACATTTTCATACATCTTCTTTTTACATCTTCTTCTTACATCTTCTTCTTACATCTTCTTCTTACATCTTCTTACATCTTCTTCATACATCTTCTTACATCTTCTTACATCTTCTTACATCTTCTTCTTACATCTTCTTACATCTTCTTACATCTTCTTTTTGCATCTTCTTCTTACATCTTCTTCTTACATCTTCTTCTTACATCTTCTTCTTACATCTTACATCTTCTTAGAAAAACATGAATAATAATCAAAACTTTAAAAATCACCTAATGATTAAGAATTGAAATTATTCAATGACTATTTTGCAAACAATTTATATTATTTCTAAACTAAAAATAAATGAACAATTAGTTTTTTTATTATTAAATTTAGTTCTCAAATTGCTTTGTTATTAAAAAACAAATTTGGTTAATATTTCGGGTGATGAAATATTTTGGGTTGTGAAACTTTTAATCTAAATTAATCAGATTTAAAAAATAAAATGTTTCAGTTTTTTTGTATAAGAATTTTTTTACTGTTATCTTATTTTTAGGAAGACTGTTATTTTCAGCAACAAAATTTGATACAAGTTAAGGAACAAAACAGATTGTAATTTAGCAAAAACAAAAAGCCTAATATTTAAATATCTTATATCTATCAATACATTAAGATATTAGTTCATTATTTACACTAGAATTATGATTTTATTTGGTTAACTTTTTATAAAAGTTATTCTTTCATAGAGAAAGTTATTCTTTCATAGAGAAAGTTATTCTTTCATAGGGAAAGTTATTCTTTCATAGAGAATGTTATTCTTTCATAGAGAAAGTTATTCTTTCATAGAGAAAGTTATTCTTTCATAGAGAAAGTTATTCTTTCATAGAGAAAGTTGTTCTTTCATAGAGAAAGTTATTCTTTCATAGAGAATGTTAACATTGTCAGTATAAAAGGAAAAATGAGTTCTAAAAAAATTATTTCTGTTGATAAACTAAAAATGCACCCCACAGTAGATTTTGGAGTCAGGTAAGGTCCTGCATGAAGATTTCATTTAAAGAAATAATTGTGAACTTAGGTTTTTTTTTCACAATGAAATGCATTTTTACACAGTTACATGTTTTGTGAGGTTAGAACTATATTATTTTCTCCACTATGTGAAAAATCATAGTTATTAAATGTATTATGTATCTCAGAAAAATGTTTTTCTACTGTATTGAAACGTTATAAGTGAAAAGGTTGTAGAGAGTCTCTTTATTTGCTGTCTCCTAATATTTTAATTTTTTAAATTATTTTATTTAATATCTCAAAAAGGCGAAGATCAAGATAATTCTGACCTCACAATTTATTTTCTTTTTAAAGTTGTACGTTTATCAGATATCTACAAAGTTTGATTGCAGTCCTTTTGTCAATAAAAATTTCATTAATGCATTGACTTTTATTTCATTAATAACAATAATAAAAATTTCATTTATACATTGTCAAACAGCTGAAACAATGTCGATATTGTCTTGTGCACTTTACCATTTTTTTACTTGTGCACTTCATGTCAATCTTAAAGAAAATAGAAAATGTAGTGTTTTTCTTATTTTAGCAAGTCAAAAAGAAATAATATCCACTGTTGATTCTTATTTTTTTAGTTGACATCAGCCTAAATGATTAAGTAAATGCCTAAAAGGTTAGATCAGTTAAAGCAACTGAAAAATTAAAAAATGGTAGAAATAAAAGATTTAATAGTGTGCAGTTTACTGCACACTATTAAAGATAATGTAACATTATGAAGTGTGCAGAGGTTTTTCTTCTTCCTAGGAAGGTCTGCAGTATGTTTTAATTTTAGTATTTTTTCAATAGAAATCCTCCTTTAAAAGATGGTGCAACAGCAGCATGTGTATTGGTAGTTAACAATACAATTTATGTGGCAAATATTGGAGACAGTAAAGTAAAGAGTTCATAATATTTATATTTTTAAATTGTATAAATTTATATTTGATAATATTTTATAAAGTTTAGGTTAGGACAGACGAAGTAAAAGCTCTCTTGGTTTATTTTTTTTTAAATTAGGTTTATGATCATATTGTTTATAATTTTAGATAAAATAATTCTAGATTTTCAGTGAAATTCTACTAGGAGTGTTCAGGACAGAGTTGTTAAAAAGGCCAAAAGTAGCAAAACCAAGGCCAAGGCCATATGTTATAAGGCCAAGGCCAAGGCTAAGACCAAGGTCAAATGTTACAAGGCCAAGGACAAGGCCAAGGCCATAAGTTTTAAGGTCAAGACCGAGATTAGGAGTTTCAAGGCCAAGGTCTACGCAAACATTTTCAAGACCAAAGGCTTGAAATTTTGCCTTATGTTTAGGCCAATTATTAACAAAGCTGTAAGTTGCAAGTGCTATGACAATAAAACCACATTTTGTAAAAATAGACCAAGGTTATGGGGAGAATTCAACGAAATTAATAAAGAATATGTTTTTATTTAAGGTTAAGACCAAGGCCAAGGCCAACAGTTTCAAGGCCAAGACCAAGGCCTAAGCCTCAATATTTGGCCTTAAGGCAAGGCCAAGGACTAACAACTCTGATAAAGGAATATAAATTTTAAATTACAGCCTGAACCTGATTTCCCAAGGATTTCCCACAGTCTGTGTCAAATCTCTTAAAAAATAAAGGTAAAAAAAAATCTAGCATTCCGAGCTGAAATATTGTAATTCCAGCCAGAATTTTGTTACATCCCTAATTAATACTAGATTTAGAAAGAAAAAAGCTAAACTATTTAATTTGGTAAAACAGATGGTGGTGAAAATTAAGTATTATGTGAGGAAATTTAATGTCAAATTGGGATAAAAATTGAAATTTTTCTGATATCTTTCATACTTTACCCAGTAGTACCTATCAATGAAACATGTAAAAATGTTAAGTTTGAGCTTCATAATCCAAATGGTTCAAAGTTATGATGTTTTGAAATTCAGCCTAAAATGTCTATTTTTCCCCATATCCGCCATTATTGACTTTGTAGTGGTTCTAGTGGAAGAATACAGCTAAAAACTGGTACCTAACCTTTTATGAGGCTGCTGAATTCAAAAGTATAGAAAAAGCAACCTAATTAAACATTTATGATGGTCATTTTTGATTTTAAAATTGTCAGTATAATTTTCTTTTTCATGGTAATAAGTTGCGCTTTAACTAACCCCAATATATAACCACTCAAATAATATTTTGTTTTGATGAATTGACCATGACTTTAAATGTTTTCAAAATTTAAATTTGCGTTAAAAAAACTTTCCTGGACTAAACCAAAAAAACCTTTATTTTAAAAAAGAAAAGAAATCTCAACATGAGAGTAAATAAAAAAGAAATCTCAACATAAGAGTAAATTTAAAAAAAAATCTCAACATAAGAGTAAATTTAAAAAAAAATCTTAACATAAGAGTAAATAAAAAAAAAAATCTCAACTTACGAGTAAATAAAAAAGAAATCTTAACTTAAGAGTAAATAAAAAAAAAAAATTCAACTTAAGAGTAAATAAAAAAAATAAGAAATCTTAACATTAGAGAAAATAAAAAGAACTAAAATTAAAACACAAAAAATAAAAAACTCAACTAAAATAAAACTCAAAAACTAAAATGCTAAGTTTATATAAATCAAGTATTTAATTAACTTTAAGGTTTATTTAAATCAAGTATTTAATTAACTTAAGGTTTATTTAAATCAACTATTTAATTAACTTTAAGGTTTATTTAAATCAACTATTTAATTAACTTTAAGGTTTATTTAAATCAACTATTTAATTAACTTTAAGGTTTATTTAAATCAACTATTTAAGGAACTTCAAGGTTTCGAATCCTTTATCTGTACTAATATTTATATAATATTATGGTTAACCCTTAAAATAAAGGAACAATTTACTTTTAAAGATTGTATAATAATTATTTACACTTAATATAAATTATGTTTTTTTACTTGTTTAAAAATTTAAAAAGTAAATAAACATTAATAAATAATTACACATTAATATTTAAATAAAAAATCATTAGCAGTAATTTTTTACTTCATTTAAAAACGTTTCAATAATATAAAAACATTGAAGATCAAAAAGGCTTTCCAAAACATTTGTCATTTTTAACAATTTTTAAAATCTTTTTAAGTGTAGTAACTATAATGATTATTATATAAATTTCATTGAACTATTGTTATCTGAAAAAGTCGTTTATAAAAACAAAATTTTTTTTTTTATTAATTTTATTTAAAAAATGCATGCTTTTATAATTTATATAATTAAAAAAGTTATGTACAACTTTCATTGATACTTAAAAAAAAAAAATCATTATTAGTAAGTTGTTACTTTATTTAAAATTCTCTGACATAAAATTATTATTAAAGATAAAAATTTCATTGTTCTTTATTTCTAAGGTATAATACAAAATCTTTATTAGTCAGTGTGGTTTTAAAATGTTAATAGCTGTGGTCAAATCTTAAAAAAAAAGAGTTAATTTTGTGGTCTTTTAATGATGTGCAATCATGCCTACTTGACCAAGCCTGCTATTATAATAAAAAATGATCTCTTGAAGCATAATAAAGGTATGTCATTTTGAAGATTTTTTTGGGCTCATATTCTCCATCAAAGATTTTTTACTTTTTTTATGAATAATTCAAGTTCTAGTCGAACAAACTACCTGAAAATCTTGTCATTTTGAAGGTGCTGAATTCAAACACAAAATTTTACCCAATTTAATTATATGATAATCTTGTTTTTTTTTTTAAATGGTAAGTCAAATATTTTGTTTCTTTACCATAAAACAAGGTTGCACTTTGGGTTCAGTTGTTATGTATAAATATAGTTTTGTGACATAAGTTGTGATATATAAATATAGTTTTGTGACATAAGTTGTGATATATAAATATAGTTTTGTGACATAAGTTGTGATATATAAATATAGTTTTGTGACATAAGTTGTGATATATAAATATAGTTTTGTGACATAAGTTGTGATATATAAATATAGTTTTGTGACATAAGTTGTGATATATAAATATAGTTTTGTGTATGTTTTGAAATGCCAGTTTCGATGTATAAAACATAAAAACAGTTTTAATTTTAGATTAAATAATTATTGAGTCTAATTGATTATTTAGTTTCTCAGTCATGGTAAACAGTCCTCCAAATAGTACTCCATTGGAATTATGCTAGAAAGTGAATGTCATCGCCAAACATGAAATCCAAAGATGATTGAGATCCAAAGAGTATTGCTCAACAATACTTTATGTAAATTTAAAGTAAATGTAATTTAAAGTCCCTCTTAAAGTTCATTTACCCAAAACTTGGCCAAAAGCCTTTACTTAGAAAAAGAAAGATAAAGATGATGAATGAAAAAAAAAAAAAAAAAAAGAAGCAGTTGTCAAGAAACTTGTAACTGTTTTAAATGAATCTAATCTTGCTGCACCAAACTGCACCAAAGTTAATTATCTCTAAATTTTGAAGTCTTTGGTCTAAATGGTGCATCCTTGCTGGTCCTAAAAATACACATTCTGTTTGTGTGTGTCCAATACAATAAATTGTTAAATTAATTTTGAGTGGTCTATGCTTTGAAATGTCTTACCATGATATTTGACATTGATGCAATAGTTATTCTGGCATATAAGCTCCCCAATATTTTTTACAGCAGTATCTGACATAAAATGATGATTTATAAGAGCAATATGACAGTGATGAAAATGAACAGTCAGTGAATTTAAAACAGTGGACAATGGCAGATAGAACCAAACTTTTAACAGTAAACCTTCCATTAAATTAATTCATAGAGTTTCTGTGTTAAAAGCTTGATAAAGTTACTTTCATTTGTTTATATCAAAATAAAAATCTAGCTAAAAATCTAGATAAAGCATCTCAAAGAAACAATTAATATTGATGAGGCAATTGTTATGGCAGTATTTTGCAAAGAAGTACACTTTAGTAGAACAACATGAGATACAGAGTTACCATTGGAGCATGAGTCAGTGTTCTCTTTATCCAGTTTTCATCTATTACAAGAAAGTAAAATTGGAAACATCTTCTTTTTGTGTCATTTCAGATGATTTGAATTGGGATGATGGATTTAATAAAACCATTATTCATATAAAAATTAATCTTTGTCCCACAATTACAAAAATTCAATATGTTTCTGATGACTGTGCAGGCAGTATAATACTGCAAATATTTTTACAATTTATGTCACCATGCTAAAGATTTTCTGTTCATTGCATTTGGAATTCTTTTGCAACAAGCTGTGGCAAATCTCTATGCAATGGAATAATTGGCACTGTAAAATGGTCCAACCATCGGTTAAGTACTGTCAACTCCAGCAATGTTTGAATACTGTCAAAAATCAATCAGTGGAATTATGTTTATGTCATCAATGCTGAAGAATCAGAGCTAGTTTGAAACAAACTTACTAATAATTTTTGCAATAGAGCAACCATTGTTCCTGGGACCAGAGGTTTTAATCAATTTGTACATTCTTTCAATTTCAAGTTCTCTTTCAATTATAAAGATGAAAATGGTATCTAATAATGATGATTTTGCTCTAACATTAGACTTCCTCAATAAACATATTTCATATTTTTATATGAGTTTTTCATACAAAAATATAAAAAAATATCAAGACTGAATATGTTATATCTCAATACCTATTTTGCAAATACTACAAATTTTACTGGCTTGGGATGGTTTTTGAAGTTGATGAAGAAAATGTTGATTTTATTGTAAAGTTCATGCATTCATATCATCCAAGTTAATTGTACTATTGGCAAAACTAAGGTTTCTCTTGTTAAAACACTGTCAACATCTTCTGGATGTTAGTACCGCATCTCTAAAGAAGTTAGTACCGCATCTCTAAAGAACTCTATTTAACAAGTTTTATCTTATCATTGAAAGTCTACTAATATTTCACTTTCATTTAATATTGCTTAAATAATATAAACTTTTTGTAATATTTGCTTATTACTTTTCTTTTTTTTTTGAATATTTAGAATTGAATTTTCTCTTCTTTTCAAAAATGGTGAGATACCAATTTACTGTCATATTCCTTCATTAAGGACTTAAATTAATTGCTATAAAATCTATAATGGAGAATGTGAGCCCAAATTAAGAATTTTTGTCTAAACTTCAAAATGACATATCTTTATTATGCTTCAAGAGACCAAAACTATCTTTTTTTCTTAAAATAGCCTAAAATCTCATTTTATTTAAAAAAATTTGAATCAAATAACCATCGTAAAAAGTAAAAGTGCAACTCATGGTAGCAGATATGGAAAAATATGGAAAAAATTGATCTACAGTATTATTCTCAAGAAAGAAAAAAAAAGAAGATAAACTTAGAGGTTGAAAATAATGATATGGTTTGATATGGTTTCTTATTGAAATAAGAAACCATATTAAACCATATCATTATTTATATATATTTTTATATATAAATAACAGTTTTATAGTTTTTTAGAGAAACGTTCTGCACATGCAGAACACTAAAATGAAAATTATCATAGGTTGGCTTATAGAAACATATTTCAAATGAAAAAGGTTAGATGGTTGTGGCTATTGAAGAAGCATTTGAAACCCATGTAATGATAACTTTGTAATGATAAAAGAAATTTTTATTATGATTTTATATTTGTTGTGCCTTTTTTGAACACAGATCAATTACATTCGGCTTAAGAAAAAAAAAGTTTCTTTGATTTCAAGATAAGTAATAAAACCATAAGATATAAGAATTATTTTCTTCAAACTAAGGAACTTCGAATGAAAGTGGGCTCAACACTAACAGCAATACAGCAAAAAATGTATACAATGCTCATATCTAGACCTTAAATGGTGATTCAAAAACAAATTATGGAATCTAAAAGTTTTTCATTTACTTTTTGAAAAAATAAAAAATGTTTTTGAATTTCCTTTTAGACAATACTGGTGCGAACTAATGAAGAGGGGAAGAGTACTATATTACCATTATCAAAAGATCATTCACCATTAAATGTAAGATTTTCATAGTCTTTAATAAAATTTTTTTTGATATGGATTGTAGTATTTATGCCAAATTAGTGAGTTACACTGATTTGGAAGGTTTAAAATTTTATTTTATTTTATAAGCTCATATACTTTTTAAAAATAACAGGTGGTTATTAAAAATCTGGGCTAACTTTAACTGGATTTCAAATGCTACAAGCTAAACTTCATGCTTTTATCCATTGTAAAATTAATTCACTCTAAGTTAGTTTACTTGTTTTTAGATAATAAAAATTCAGAAAAAAATGGTTTCCAGGCAAGAAGAGATAAGAAAACAGATTTACAAGCTCTATTTGAATAGTAAATTGTAAATTTTTTTCCCTGTAGATCACTTCAATACTGAATGAATTCCAAGAAGCAAGTTGATATAATTGCTTGTGCTGATTCTGGACACAAAAGAATGCAAGGAAGTGGTTATGTGACCAAAATCATGACCCCAAAGGTAATCAAATGTCTGAAAACCATGTTTTACTAAAGTGACTAATTTTTGATGAGTCAGCTTGTTAATAGTTTGAATGCAGTTGTTTACATTTCATTACAACTCTTGTCATGTACACTAACATTAAAAACTTCTGTAAAACATTGTATAATTGATCGACAAGAAACCAGAAGGAGCGATAAAGCTTACTTTATGCTGTCATACTCAGTGATAAATGAAAATAGCACCTACTATTCTAGTGAGAGAAAAGACTCCACCTAGCGTTAAATATTGCAAAAAGTGAAAGTTTGAACCCAAATGGCTTGACTCGCTGATTGCTTTTGACAAAGATATTCTCTAGTCAAGAAAACCTTCTACATATAATGGATTGTATTGGGAAGATTAGTGCTGTCATCATGTCGATGGCAATTCTGTATTTTAGCTGGACCTGGCCTCATTATGCCAACTGCAATTAAGCCCATAAGATCAATTTTGTCAAAAAAGTTAATTATCCGCCAGCCATACTGGAGTGTCGCCCAATCAAATACTTTTGGGCTATTTTAAAAGGCAAAAAAGATATGAAGGTAACTGACAAGCCGAAGATGTGGAGCACCTAAAAACCAGAATAAAGATTTGTTTGAAAAAAAGTGACCTTTTATTTTCAATTTTTGAGTCAATTAGTCTTAAAGTCATTCGAATACAAAGAAACAGGCAAGTTGAAGACACTCATTAAAATAAATTAAAAAACTAAAAATTCTGTTTAATGATATTTTTATTTAATCTTTAACCTAAAAACAAAGTGTGCGATTGCCCTTGAAAGTAAGTCCGGATTTTTAGTAACCATTTTATATATACATGTATGTATTTTTTTTAATGTAAGGGAGCAATTGCCCTTAAAAGTCAGTTTGTAGTTTTAGTAACCATTTTATATATATATATATGTATTTTTTTTAAATCTAATTTTTTATTTTTATTTTTCACAATTAAAATTTTTATTTAACAAAATATTTAATTTTTATTCAACAAAATATTCAAACAAAAGTTGTGAAGACTTTTATTGAGACAAGAATAATTCACCAAACCATAAAACATTATCTATCTATCTATCTATCTATATATATATATATATATATATATATATATATATATATATATATATATATATATATATATATATATATATATATATATATATATATATATATATATATATATATATTGTTATATATAAAATTATTATTGTGGCCACCCACAATTTTTTACATTCTCAAGTTTCAAAATCTATTATTTTAATATTTTTTTGTGATTAATGTACTCAAAAGTAATTTTTATTTAAGAAATGGGTATTTTTTTTGACAAATAAAAAAACATTCAACAAATTGATAATATGTTTTATTATTTAAATATTAATACAAATATATTCAAGATCAATATTTGGTGATTCCCTTTTTGGCATACTTTTGATGTATTTTTCAGCAATTTCCTTCAATTTTTTATTATGGTTCTAATGGTGAATAATTCTTTCTATTAAACACTCTTTATTTGTAATATTTTCTTTTGATGTTTTCTTCTTTAGGAGCACCCAAACATTTTCTATAAGATTTAAAGAGAGTTTCCTGGCCAATCAAGTAATAGAATATTCTGTTCTGATAATTTTTTAATTGATTTGGCCATGTGACATGATGCCCCATTCTGCATGAAGGTTTTTATTTCACCTGGATCAAACCATTCTGCCAATTGTGGCAACAATCTTTGTTCCAGGACTTTTTTATATATTGCGACTGATTCATTATTCCCTAGATAATATAGAGCCTCTCCATTCCTCTTCCACATATCACTGACCAGATCATCTCAGAAGTGAATAATAAAAGTTTGAATAATGCAGTTCAATAAGTATTTTTTACCTTTTTTTCTTTTTACATATTGAGCATTCTTTGTTAACACTTGGAAAGTACTCTCATTGCTAAAGCATGCCTTAAAATATTATACAAGGGTTGTTAAGTGGATGTTGTGATTTTAATGTGCGTCAATAGTTAGTCAATAATTAGCTTTGCTAAATATTGTCAAAAGTTACATGTTGCATATTTTTATTACTATAACGTTTTGTATAACGACCACTAATTGTTGACAAGAGTCTCAAGTTGAATTTTTAAATACTATGAATAGTGAACAAATTTGTTGTAAAAACGTTGAGATTGTTGATAAGTAATAAAAACATTAAAAATGGCTTCTAAATGCGTTGAACAACAAGCTAATTGGGCGTGTCTATTATATCCGCAATATGAAGATGGACAGCCAAAGCGATTTATTTGGCAGTTGACTTCTTTTTTCGTGATAAACAATATTACTTCTGATCGACACGTAGCATACTTGCTTGCTATTCTGCTGTCGAAGATTTACCATGGAGAAATCAACAGCACCTGAACTACCTGAGGACGTTTTGTACGAATAGTTGGTGACAAAACTGGAAACATTGGAAATTAGAAAATCGTTGTTAATCTCATGGTATGAATTTGGGAAAACTTATCGTGGTGATAAAGAATCGATACAAGTGTTTGCACATTGAGTGATCCGAGCAGCTCAAGAATGCAAGTTTATGCCTTCAGAGAGAGACGGTTGACTTCGTGATCAATTCATCATTGGGATCAATAATTGTGCTGATCTGCATGCTTTTCTTCAGGGAGATGGTGCATTGAGCTTTGACAATTGTGTCAAAACAGCATCCGTGATTGTACAAACTAGATTAGATGCGGCATGTTTATCTGTAAATGAAGAAGTAAATGCAAGTTACCGAACAACTGGGACTGTAATGTCAAATGATATACGAAGAAAGAAAGAAATGGGATGTTTCAACTATCAATCATTGAATCAATTTGCACATGAGTGTACCTCCTTATGCAAGAAATGCTTGCATAAACATGCTGCTACAAATGTTGACTTAAATGACAAAATGTTGACTTAAATGGGACAAGTTCGCATTAGGTATTTCTACAAGAACTCGTTCCGAAACAATACTACCTACTATCGACTTGGTAATAAACGGAAGAAACGCTACAGCAGGCCTTCTCGTAAGAGGCGTGCGATCGGACGCTTTATATGACCACGGGTATAGTTCTTTGTTTTAACAACTTGACCATGGCTCTTTGCAAGTTTCGATAATTAGCGCATTTAAAAAATGCGCTTAAAGAAAACAAAGCAAATGTAAATACACAATCCATAAACTGGTGGTGGATCTAAAAAGAGCATACCTACAAATCCATGTGCATAAACGACATTGGCCTTACCAAACTGTAATTTACAAGAATCAACGATATGCGTTTACACATTTGGGTTTTGGTTTGAACCTAGCACCTGTGATGATGAGCTCAATACTGCGATATGTTCTCCAAAAAAATTCTGCACTTGCAAAGTCAACAAGAGGATACATTGATGATACTTTAGCAACCAATGGAAATGGAAGGAAGCTGGTGGCACATATGAAGAAATGGGGTCTTCACACAAAAAACACCTAAATATTTTGGCAAAAACCCAGTTCGTGCTCTAGGATTGGAAGTAACAGTAAATCCATTTACAAAGGAAATGTTTTGGAAGAGAGGTTGCAAGATTCCTAAAAAATGTACTCACCAAAAGGAAGATATTCTCATTATGTGGTAATCTGGTTGCTAATTTACCAGTTGCTTGATGGTTGAGACTCGCATACAGCTTTATAAAGAGAAGTACAAATGAAGCAGGTTGAGATGAACCTGTTACGAATAAGTGCATAAATGAAATGATGCAGGAAGTTGTGGATAAAGTTATCAAATGCGATCCAGCAAAAGGCGTTTGGAATGTCAAACCAAATGCATCTCTAACTTTATGGTGTGATGCAAGTTTGCTGGCAAAAGGAGTTGTAATAATGCAAGGTGACAAAAAAATAGAATATGCAACTTGGCTTCGACCAAAGCCTGATGCAATTCATTTTAATGTGGCTGAATTAGATGCATGTATTGAAGGTCTCAATATGGCATTGAAATGGAACCCAAGTGATGTCTCTATCAAAACTGATTCTCATAGTGTATTCAGATGGTTAAATTCTGAATTGACTTGTGACAAACCTGTAAAATGTGCTGAGCAATGTGAAATGCTAATCCGACATAGGCTTCAAATATTTGGAAAATTGGTCAAGAATTATGCCATAAGTGTAAATGTTAAATGGGTACCAACAACAAAAAATATTGCAGATGAACTCACACGAGTGCCAACAAAATGGATAAAAAACAAAGTTGTGATACAAGAATGTAATATTTATAAGCACGATCATCAGCAGAATAAAAGAGTTCACTCAATAGCACACATGAGAGTTTCCAAGAGTATGAAGTTATGCTTGTGTGCTGGTATCCATGTTAGCAGAGACACATTGAAATAAATTGTAGCTGAATGTGGTGAATGCAATTCAATTGATCCTAATGTGATTTTGTGGGATAAAGGAAATCTTGCTGTCAGCAAAGTGTGGGAAAGAGTAGCCTGCAATGTTACTCACGTTGATTCATTGCTGTATCTTACCTGTATTGATTGTGGCCCAAGCTGATACACGTTGTGGATTAAGCAACGAAAGTGCAACAATGGTTGTTCAATCGTTAGAAACAATATGGTCATCGCTTGAACCTCCTTCCCGAAATTCTCCTAGATAATTCTAAGTTGTTTAGATCTCAGGCTATGCAAACTCTGGCATTGAAGTGGGAAATAAGAATTATTTATCGAGCTGTTAAAAAACCTTCGGGAAATGGAATTGTTGAAAGAGTTCATCGGACAGTAAAAAAAACAATTGCAAAAACGAAATGTGTAATACCCATGTCTGTCTTCTTAATCAACAACGTACCATCAAAACATGGCACACCTTTTGAAATCTTTTGCAAACAATACAAACGTGTCCAAATTCCTGGAATCGACAAAGTTGAATCAACACAAAAATCTCTGAATAAGTGTCAAGGATGGAAAGTTGGCGATAAAGTGTGGGTGAAGCCTAAGCATATGATGTTGCGTAAACAGCAATGGTTAAAAGGAAGGAGGTTCAAGCGATGAGTAGTAGCACTGGATAATGGTTTAACACCTCCTTCCCGAAATTCTCCTAGATAATTCTAAGTTGTTTAGATCTCAGGCTATGCAAACTCTGGCATTGAAGTGGGAAATAAGAATTATTTATCGAGCTGTTAAAAAACCTTCGGGAAATGGAATTGTTGAAAGAGTTCATCGGACAGTAAAAAGAACAATTGCAAAAACGAAATGTGTAATACCCATGTCTGTCTTCTTAATCAACAACGTACCATCAAAACATGGCACACCTTTTGAAATCTTTTGCAAACAATACAAACGTGTCCAAATTCCTGGAATCGACAAAGTTGAATCAACACAAAAATCTCTGAATAAGTGTCAAGGATGGAAAGTTGGCGATAAAGTGTGGGTGAAGCCTAAGCATATGATGTTGCGTAAACAGCAATGGTTAAAAGGAAGGAGGTTCAAGCGATGAGTAGTAGCACTGGATAATGGTTTAACACCTGACGTTGAAGTCAACGGACATATGTTGCCACAACATTTTTTAAATCTGCAGCATTATTGAGTAGACAAAAACAAAGAAGATATAACAACTGATGACGATTACAATTCGACACTGGTTAATCCTCCTGAAATGAACTTAAAACATGTCGCAATCGAAGATCCAAGTTCTCAGATAAATTCCCCGGACGACAGCGAAGATGAGAATAGCGCTGATGCACAGCACTGATCAAAACTCTCCAACAAATTGTGAGACAGAGTTACAGCCTGTTCAATTTACTCGCTATGGGAGGAGAGTACTTCCTAACCGGAAATATCACAATTATGTATGAGCTCTTGTTGAGCTGGGGGAGATGTTGTGATTTTAATGTGCGTCAATAATATGTCAATAATTAGCTTTGCTAAATATTGACAAAAGTCACACGTTTCATATTTTTATTATTATAACGTTTTGTATAACGACCACTAATTGTTGACAAGAGTCACAAGTTGAATTTTTAAATGCTATGAATTGTGAACAAATTTGTTGTAAAAATGTTGAAATTGTTGATAAGTCATAAAAACATTAAAAACAAAATATATATATATATATATAAAAGTTTTAGAAAGCCGTTACAATTAAATAAGTTTGATCTTAAGTGCTTTTATATTATCGAAACGCTTTTCAATGAAGTAAAAAAACACTTTCAATAAATTTTTAAAATAAGTATTAATAAACTGTAGTTTTTTTTATTTTTATATTTATGTATTTTTTATGAGAAATGTTTCTCTTTTGAAACATTAAATAAAAAACAAAAGTACAAATGCTAAAACAAAGATTGAAATGGTTTTTTAATGCGTAAATTAAATAGACTAAGCATTTTAGTTTGATGAGTTTTGTTTTAGTTTGGTTTATATATATATATTTTTTTGTGTTTTTGCTTTAAAAAAAAAAAATTAAAGAAAAAATACTTAGTATTTTTTCTTTTTTCTCTTTCATTAAGATTTTTTTTACAATTTTTTTTTAAAAATAAGTTTAGGTACGTTTTTGTAGCGCATTTTTAAATTTTGAAAATATGTCAAAAGCTATGGTCATATCGTTAAAACATATTATTTTTTGTTATTAGAGCAATTTAAGCTACAAATTTGATTTTGAAATTATAATATTAAATTATATTACTAAATAGTACAAATGTTATTGGTCCACCTAAAATATGAGTTTTATTGAAGCTAAATTTTTTCAACAAATTAAATTACTCTGAAGCGTAATTGAATTATAATTGTTTTAGTTTAAATAGTCAGTCAAACAAAATATAATTGTATTTATTATAAATTTGGGTCTAATTAAATCAATAATACTGTTATGGTTTGGATCTAATCAAATCAATAAAACTGTTAAGCTTTTTAGTAATACAAATATATAACTAGAATACACAAAATTTATTCAAAAGATTTATGCCAAAAAATTTATACAAAGTTTATCAAATAGCCAACTTATTTATAAAAACTTTATAAAAACTTATTTTTATAAACTGCATAAAACTTGTTCAAAATTTTTATGTTTACACATTTTATACATCATTTTTTAGTATGAAGAAAGACAACGCATACAAAATGCAGGTGGTTTTGTAAAGTATGTTTTATTTAAATTTGATTTAATTTATTTTTATACTTTGCATTGAAATACTTAAAATCTCTTTTTTTCATAATTTCTTCTCACTTTCTACAATTAATCTTAGATAATGCAAAGTTATTTAATCTAAAAATAATTAGTTTATAAACCAATCTATCATTTGCATTTATTTATAACAAAATAGTAATTAATCGTGGTTTGTAGATGTATATAGAAAACCATATTACCAGTTCAATATAATAAATATAAATCCTTTAATTTGTGAATGAATATAAATATATTGTTTTTTGACTTTTAATCTAAAAATATTAGAAATTTTTAACTTTTTTAAAATATGTTTGCTGAAATTTTTTTTTAAACTACATTTAAACTATATATATATTTTTATACTATATAAGCAATCAATACATACCTGTTGTCTATGTTTTCTAAAACACTATGTTTTCTAAAACACTAATTCTTTAGTAGCACTTAGTTCAGGTTGTTTTGCGATAAGGCTGCCTTGTCTTTTGAGTTTCATGTTATATTAAATAAGCTGAGAGATTGTGTGAAAGGTTTTTGTTTATTTTCCCTTAAAAAAACATGTCTTAATAATATTTGTCCTGTAGATTGGATCCAGGGGGAAAAACAGAAGAGTCGTGTTTTCATTTTTTTGAATCTTATACTGGTCTCATAGTTATTTAAATCATATCTTGAATGAAAAATCAATGCGTTTTCTTTCCATCAAAAATGAAAAATTAAAAGAAAAAACAGGTACAATGGAAAAAATAAAATTGTTTGCAATATAAAGAGGCAAAGTTCACATGGTCTTAAAATATATTCAGTCACGTGACCTTGGGATCCAATTATTTGTTTTAAAAATATTTATTATTGAAATAATTTGATAAAGGCTGATTTTGATGAATCTATTGAAGTTTCTAATAAAGCGAAAAAAAGTTAAATGGTCATCACAAATTAAAAAAAAAAAACAGAAAATTTTTACTCTTAAAGCAGGTCTAAACTGTATGTTTGGAAGTTATAAATGAAGAAAACAGAGCTTATTTATTAAAATCATTCATTTCAATAGCAATTAAAGAAATACAAGATTCGTTTTTAGCAGGACCAACAGTAACTAATAGGGTTTCTGAAAAACAGTGGTAAAAAACAGCTGTTTTACTGTTTTATGAACAGTCATGCTAAACTTCACTTTATTGGTTACTTTTAATTTTATGGTGTCAATCTTTCTTTTTTTTGTTTTTCATCAAAATCTTTGTGCAAAAGTTTCATTACCTCACTTTTGTTAGCAGGGAGTTTAAATTCATCTTGAGCTATTGACTGGCAAATGTATTTATTTCTGGTTATAGCTCAAACTGAAATGCCATCCGTATAGCCATATCAGAAACAATATTTTGAAGCTTATTTTGCGTAAAGAAGTTTTTAATCTTTTCTCGCTTGCTCTCTCATCTGTTAGCATGATTGATTCTGTTTCCTTATCTAAACAAAGTCTCTGACTTTTTAAGCGGTATTTGTAAAGTTTTCTGAGCATTTTATAATTTTGTTACAACGCTGACACTGTCCTTCCAACTCATTTGTAATTGGATTTTTCCGTTTTGTTGCGTATATCCAGACTGACACTGCTAATAATATGAATAGAAAGTAAGAATATTAAATAAACCTTTTACCCACCCTTAAGAGCTATTTCCTTATATATTCAACTTATATATAAACCATATTAGTATAAATTTAAGTTATTTTAAATATTGAAAAAGTTTCAATTAAAATTATTTCATTTAAACAGATATATTAAAAAATTATTAGACATTTTAAAGTTTAATTGAAATGGTTTTGACAAAAACTAAATGTTATTCAGAACATCAAACAGTGACATGTTTCTGATGTCTGAAAATGTTTGAATAAAAACAAAAATTAGTAAAGTTGGTGACACAGTTTGTGGATTGTGGTTTTAATATAGAAATAAATTCTCATCCATCTGGCATTTGCGGTACTTGTGTTAAAATTTTGTATTTGATGAAGGCAAGTAAAATAAGGTTTTATACACTTTTAAGTTTGACATAAAATGACTTAGCGGTTTGTATTTTTAAAAACTTTATTATAAGGTTTGAGTATTAGTAAATCAGTGGGAGAGTCCTGGAAAAAAATTGTTTTACAAAAACTAGAAGAAAATGTGTTTCCTATAGATCAAATGTAAAAATCAGAATTTATAAATGAAATTTCAACTGAAGAAAGAAACTGTTGACTTTCTCCAGAAAATCTTCATTATCTCATACAATCCAAAGGTTTTAAGAGTTCACAGAGATCTTCAGTATTCAAGAAATTAGATGCAAAAGAGAGAGGCAAAAACAATAAATCTTACAAGTTTCATTTTAAACTTGATTAAGTAAATTTTTAAATTTAATTTATTAGATAAAAAGTTATTTTCTGAATAGGTGGTAAATCAATGAATGTTAATTTGTATCTGAAACAGGCACCACTAAAGGAAATTTTGGATAACATGTTATTTAACAACAAAAGAAAACAAATTTTCCTAAGTCAAATGCATTAAAGATCATTAAAGACAAACCTTTTTTTTTCGAGAAGTCACAATCAGGCTATAGAGTTTCAGTGTAGTCATAACATATTTTAAACATTGATTTAAGTATTCTAAACATTCTCTTTTCTAACATCTTTTGAAAATAGGAATTTTAAGCTATATATTCTTTAGGTTGCTAAAAAGAAGACTTCTGAGCTTATTGCAATAGTATATGTTCCACAACCATGGAAACTAGTAGAAGAAACATGCAATCAGAGAAACCTGAATCCAATCAGTTGCATTATTAAGGTGGGAATGGATGGTGGTAAAGGATCCTTAAAATTTGTAATGAACATTTTTAATCCCAAGTCTTGAACAGACTATAAGGACTTTGAGCTCACTTGCATCAATAAAGTACAAGTTTTGGCACATGAAATTTAAAAGAGCAACTACAATTTAGGAAAGATTAGTTGAAATGACAAAATTAAATAAACTTAAGTTTTATATGGTAGTAGATCTTAAGTTAATCGACAATATGTTGGGTCTTTCATCAAGTTATTTTGTTAGCATTTACCAAAATACATAGTTTTTGTACAACTATATTTGTTTAAAATACTATTGGGTTTTTATTATTATTAGAGGCATGATGGTAAGTTTGCTGCTATTGTGAAGGAACAAAAGAGGAATCCACAGGTTAGTTAACAACATTTCAAATGATTGGTACCTAAAGTTTGTTAAAAACGGACAGAAGTAAAAGCATGCAGATATACAAAAAATATTGGTTGATGTTTGCTACAAGAAAATGCAAAGACTCAGGTTATTGACATAATACAACCTGAACTGCATTAATTTGAGCATATGTAATGATCTGGGTTATAGATGTCCTAGTTACTGATGAGGTTACTAAAAATGTTACTAAAGTTACAATTACCAATATATAAACTAATCTATATTTAATAAAGATTCATACACACATACCATAAATACCATCTTATACAGGGTGTATGTGCACGATTTTTAAACATCTTTATGCAGGATGTTGCATTAAAAAATCATTAAAATTTCCCAAGAAGATGCTGTTTTTATTTTGTTTTCATCTGTTTCCTTGTCAGATTGCATGTAGTCTAATTGTTTATTTTGTATTGTATATAGTTAATTGTAATTTATAAACATTGTGTTTATTTTGTATTGTATATAGTTAATTGTAATTTATAAACATTGTGTTTCATTTGATATTATCTTTATTCTAAAAGTTATCTTAACTTTAACTGTTTTTTTTTCTTAAATCCTAAAGTTATCTTAACTTTATCTATTTTTTGGCAAAAATATTTAAAATGTGCCTAACATTTTTAATTTAAAAAAAAAAAAACTATTTTTTTCCTTCAACATTTATTTTTAAATTTTTTTTTTAATGCTAATTCACCTCCCCAAGACCGAGAAGACTACTGCAATCAAGGAGACTACTATATTGTGGTTACAACCCTCTCTCAACTCTATAACTTTGAAACACAAACCTTGATGAACAAGGCTGACTGTTTTCCTATATTCATAATATGAATATTGGATGAATTTGAATAAAAATCTTTTATTTGAAAAAAATATCTTGTTTTGTTGTTTATTTTTATAGTGTTTTAAAACTCCATACTAGTTATAGTTATTTGAAAAGGAAATGTTTAAAATAATCATAAAGAAGTGGGAAGCAAATTTTTGTAAAATTAATACAAATTTCTACTTGAAACAGTGAGTTAAATTTTCAATCACTATAATTTAACTTTTATGTCATTTAGAATTTTAGTGCTTTGCAATCCTAGGAGCATTTGAAATTTTAATAAAATGTTGACCTTAAAAAGGATCTCACTTCTGTTTCAGCATGGGGCTCTCGGTGGCTCGTGAATTTTAACTCAGATAAATCTTTTTGCAGCTATTCGTTATTGCAATAATCTAGATCTTCCTATATTTATGAGTGGTAATGTACTTGATAATCTACCCTTCTTCTTCTTGGATTAATTTTTTATTGTGCTCTTTCTTGGAAGCCATATATCAATTCCATTGTATAATCAACACCTGCTAAGGTTGCATCTCTTTATTGTACTCACCATTTTCTTTCTCCAGATTCTATTCTTTTATCTCTATAAATCTCTTATCCGTCCTTGAATGGAATACTGTTGCCATATCTGGAGCAGATTGTCGAATGATACCCTTTATCTATTAGACTAGGTGCAAAAAGGCATTGTAAACATAGCTGGACCTGCTCTTGCAGCAAACCTTCAACCATTGTCACATTGTTGCTTTTCTTTCTCTCTTCTATAAATACTATAATAGGCGTTGCTCTAAAGAGCTAGCGTCTTTTTTGCCATCTACTAAAATTCATTCTTAAGTTACTTGTCTATCAAAGTCCCATTGTTTTACTGTAACTTCCTAAGTGGTCCAAAAATTATTTTTTGTCTAGTTTTTTTTCTCGAACATCAGTTCTTTGGGATTCCCTAACTTCATCTTGTTTTTTTGATTCATTTAATTGGCAATCTACTAAGTTGTCTGTTAGTTGTTATCTTGCTTTATAAACTTCATCTTTTCTTTTCCAGTAACTTCCAACAACTAGTAGTGGTTGCAGACTTGTTAAAAGTGAAGATTTTTACAAGTAGATAACAATAGAATTTAGGTCAATAATAATAAAAAATGATTGTAAAACCTGAAAGTTGAATATTGATATATTTGTATTGAATATTGATATATTTGTATTGAATATTGAATATTGATATTGAATATTTATATTGAAAATATGATCCTGGTATATATTAATAAAAAAATGATTTTAAAACCTAAAAGTTGCATATCTCAAGACAAATAAAATATGCCTTTTTTTGCTTTGGAATTTTTGTTTGCTATACATTGTTTTATAGTATTATAATATACATATATGCAGTATGCAATAATATTATAAGATGTTTTAGAGTTCATTTTCAATATTCACATTTTTTGTTTTTCATTTTTGTTTCAATTTTTTAAAAAAATTTCAAGAACAACCACATAATCAAGCTAGATATTTTAAATAGTTGTTCTTTTTAAAAATTTGTTCCTGGCTATCAATTTGGATGAGTAAGTTTAAAAAGTTTTGTTCCTGGCTATCAATTTGGATGAGCAAGTTTAAAAAGTTTTGTTCCTGGCTATCACCATGTAAAGAATTTTGGTATAAACTTTGAAAAGAAGTACACAAAATGTTGTAATTTAGTGTACTTGAGTTAACAACTCATTCTTACATTATAGTATGTCAAGCAAGATACCTAAACAGGCTTTCACAGGAAGGAGTGCGATTTCATGTCTTTATATGACCACACAAATTATATTTTGCTATGACGGTTTGACCGTGGCTAATTCAAAAAACGTTTTAAAAACGTGCTAAATGAAAAATATTCTAAAAAAGTGAAATGAATTACATCAAAACTTCTAAGCAAATGTTTTTATATTAGCGAAATGATTTTAAATAAAGTAACAATTTACTGAAAATGTTTTTTTTTTTAAATATAAATGACAGTTGTATATTTTTTTAATTTATAACATATAAATTGTTTAAGTGTTCATTTTTTAAAATAAACGTTATTAAAAAATAAAAAATTAATTTGTTTTTATAAGCGATGACATTCTACGACTGCGAAAGTCTTTTTAACAAATTTAAATATAAGAATAATTAAAGTTAATGCATTTCAAAAGATAAACGAAATTTTGTTTAAAAAAAAAGTTTTAAAAAGCCGTTACAATTTAATAAGTTTAATCTTAAATGCTTTTATATTATTGAAATGCTTTTTAATGAAGTAAAAAAACATTTCTAATTAATTTAAAAAAAAAGTATTAATAAAATGTTTTTTTTTTAATATATATAATTATGTATTATTTTTTTATAATGAAAAATGTTTAACTTTTGAAACATATTAAATAAATAAAAAGTATATACAAATGTTGAAAACAAAGATTGAAATGGTTTTTTAATGCGTAAATTAAATAGACTAAGCATTTTAGTTTGATAAGTTTTGTTTTAGTTGCATTATATATATATTTATTTTTTTTGTTTTTGCTTTAACTAAGTATTTTTTTTTATTTTTTTTTTTGTTAAGATTTTTTTTCTTTTTACAATTTTTTTTTTAGGCAAGTTTTTGTAGCGCATTTTTAAAATTTGGAAATATGTTAAAAGCCGTGGTCAAATCGTTAAAACATATTATGTTTTGCGTGGTCATATAAAGACGTGAAATCACACGCCTTCTCGTGAAAGCCTGCTAAAGCATCATAAGAAAAATTTGACATAGGATTGCTGTATTATTCTAGGTGATTTCACATAAAGCTAAGAATCTTAACACCATCCCCTCCTCCTCCCCTTCCCCTCTCCCCTTCTTTTGTATGCTATGATGAAAAGTTTTGTGTTAAAATAAAACAACTTAAAAAGGTTTGTGTTGAAATAAAATGTAATAGCCTTATTAAATAATGTTTGTGATTTAAAATAAAACCCACCATTGAGGAAAAAGTCAATATATATCATACTTTTATCTATTAAAAAAATGACCGACTTGAAGTAAAATCATTCTGCTTCATTACAGAAGATAGTTTTTAATTCAGACACCCTTAATAAACGATTCGTGGCGGGATAGCTCAGATGGTTAGAGCGTTGAAAGGAAAGTGAAAATCCGGACTGTTGAACGATACAAGTTCAAATCCCGCCACCGCCAACTCAGCGCTTGTGTAGTATTTCGGTACGCAAAAATGTTGGTCAATAACGGACGCTACTTTGAATGAGTCTTAATGACTATTTGTGGCTGTTCCTATGCTAAGCCAACAATATCTTTGGATATAAGAACATTGTATAGAAAATTATAGCATGAAAACTCGAATAAAAAAAAAACAAAAAATAACATTCCAGGATTTCAAAGATTTTTTATTTTTCTGATAATTGCGCTGTACAGTGTAAAATAACAAAAATCAATCTCTCTAAAGACAATTTTTATATTGATATCGAGAGGATGCTTTTTGCTTTTACTGTTAATGCATCTTAACAAAGTCCTCAACACAATCTTTTTTTGCAACTATTTATCTTGATATTTTATCATTTTCTATATAACTTAAAATGATTTTTTTTTTAAACTCATGAACATTTGAGTTGATAAAGTATTTTAAAATTTTGAGTTGATAAAGTATTGAAAAATAAATTTAAATTTATACTTTAAGCCTGGTAACTGTAGTGTATATGTACATTTGCATATAAAAATAGTTATTTTTTATGAAAGATTATGGGATATAAAATGATGTGTAGCAATTTTATTTTTGATGATATTTGTCAACTGTTTGTATTTAATGTCAATTTATGCAGTTTTTTATCAATTTATAACTCACCTAAGGAAATTGTCAGAAAAAGTAAATACAAAGAAAAAATATTTTTATCTGATATTGAAACCATTAATTAAATGTCACAACTCTGAGGCCATAAAAAGGAGGCCCAGCAGATATTTGATAAAAACCAAATAGTTATATTTCAGATTTGGAGAAAGAGGATATTAATCACTCAATTGTATAAAAACCAGCAAAATTTGGTAAAAGTAGTTGCATTTAAAAATTTTTTGAATCACTTGACATAAAGTTACTCTTTTGTAAGTTTGAAAAACTTAAAACTTTTTTGAAAAAAATTATTAAAACAAACAATCAAATTATATTAATATTATTAAAAATAACCAAGTTAATTATATTTACAAAAAAAGAAATTCATAATTTTTGAAAATTAACTATTTTTTTCATAAAAATTTTGAAATACTTTAACTTTGGTCATTCACGAATAAACGAAGGAGACAATTAGCAGTAATATTGTGAAATGTTGATAAGTGTTGTGAATGTAAAATTTACCAGTAACTTTAGCTTTAAATTTACCAGTTAATGTTGACATTTTTATAATGCATACACACCATGGTATTTTATTTGAATAAAAATTTTTTCATAATTTCAAAATTTTTTTGGAGATATATATTGCAGCTCAACAACAATTATGGATACGTTGTGAATCCTGTGGTGATTGATTGTGTGGATCTTGCTGTTCTACTATGGTCAACGAGATGTGCAAGAATTGCCAATAAACGTACTAAGCTCATTTGAAGCAAAGTAGTGTTTTTTTGTTAATTGAAAAAAAACCTTTTTAAATTAATTGAAAAATATATTTTAAACTTTATTAACCAGTGGGGTAGCAAATAGGATAATGGCCAAAGGAAATAGTTGACTAACTACAATAAAAATTAAAAATGCTACTACTTATATTTAAAAAGGCGTTTTTTATGTCCTCCTTCCTGTTTTCTTTGGTACCCCAAAAGACTTTTTTTTCGAACCCGGGGCAACGCCCTTATTAGTTACTGGTATTACCTGAATTTGTATCATAGTTTTACAATAAAACAACATTTAAAAATTAGTTTTAATTATTTGTGACATTTAGTTTGTGATACGTTATTAGTATTTATATAATGGCCGAACTTATTAGATGGTATTGAAAGTTCGGTCAAAGCAGATATTTTCATTTTAAACAAAATATTGAGTACTAGTTTTTATTTTTAATTTTTTTATTTTTACAATATTAATTATCAATATAATTTTCTGTATGTTTCAGGAAAAAAAAAGTTAAACTTTTTTATTTATGCGTGATAAATAAATGTTCAAAGCTTAAGTGACCGAACTTATGCGATTTTACAGTATATTTACTCAAAATTAGCATGAAAATTATGAATGAAATATTTTCAACTAAAGTTAATTGATATAAATTGTGTTATATTTAATGTTATTAAATGATTATTATCTTTATCAAGTTTCTTTTTCAAAAATTATTTTTTAATTGTGTTGTGTAACCATATAAAAGTACAATTAACAGTTTAATTAGTTTTGAAAACTTTTCATCAGGTACACAATTTTTTTTTAGTCATGTGAGAATATATTTAATGAAATTTATTTTGTAAAATATGTATTACTTATTATTTTCTTCAATGCAGTGGACATTAATTTTTATTTTGAAAAGGTAGGAATTATTTGCATGTGCTTACAACCATTTTTTTCTTATTTGTACAAGCGTATATAATATTATTAATTGTTTTTACCTAAAAATCTAGTGTAATTTAAATTATTAGTTTTTTTAATATTAATTAAATTAATTTTTATATATAAAAAATTTATTTATGTATTTAAATGGCCATGTTTTGTATTTAAATGGTCATGTTTTGTATTTGAATGCTAAAATTTTGTATTAAAATGTTTTTTATTTTGAATATATTTAAAATTAAAAAGAAAAAAATTAAAAAATTTTAGGGATGGTCGTGTTCAAGGAATAGTTGAAGTATCTCGTGCTTTTGGCGACTTAAGATTTAAAAAATATATAATATCTAAGCCAGATATTGTCAAATCAACACTGACAGAAAGAGACAGGTTAGTTATTTTAGGTTAGGTTATTAAGGTGTTTTGTAGATTTAAATCATTTGTAAATATGTTTATAAAAATTGTAACAGGTGTTCACTAAGTGTTTGCATAAGTTTTAAATAAATTGTCTTTATTTTGAATGCTAATTCAAGATCTGCTATTACAAAAAAAATAAAAAAAAGTAGCTGTTATCAAGTTTATTGATTAGTACCGTAAAACAAGGTGACTTTGGCCTGGTAGGTGACTTTGACTAATTTATAAAAAATAGTTTTAACTTTTAAAAACTACTTTGTATTTTTGTAACTTCTTCCAAATTCAAGTTTATCACAAAAGTAAAGTTATTCTGTATATTTATTACTTGATGAATTGTAGTTGCCGGAACTATTGATATATTTTTTTTGTTATTGTTTATTAGAGTCTATAAAAATTGATAAATATATTATATGCTATAAAATTGTGAGTTGGTTGAAACTGCTATAATTATTTGAGTGGGTTGTGATATTATAACTATTAGTAAACTTATGATGAGTTTTGTACAATAATTATTACACATCTAATTTATAACACATCTAATTAAAAATAACTTTAAAGTTTATTGTGTGGCTTTTGCCACAACTTGGGGTGACTTTAACCATAGTGAAAAAAATATAATTTTTTGATCTTCAATATTATATTTTTGATTTATTTTTCAGAAAATTTGTCTATAGATATAATTTTATTGGTTTAATTTCAATTTTTGTTTTTAGGACAAAATACTAATTAATAATCTTATTTATGTCAAAGAAAACATGCCAAGAACATATAAACATGTTGCTGGAAGTGTTGATTATATTCCATACACCCAGGAAATGTTACCCAAATGTTTAAAAGAACAAAGAAGTGGTAATTTAACACAAAAAGATGCTTGTGTTACCTTTCAAGTTCTTCTATCTACAATAAAGAATAAACTATATTTTACAATATTTAGTGAAACTGAAGGAGAAATTTTTGCAAACTATGATAACTATGTCTTCTTTTGGATTCCCAGTTGACTGTTATGATTTATGAAGTATTGTGAAGTCTTATGCAGACTGTAAAGAAATGTTTATTAATCAATTTGCAGGAAATATGCCTGATGTTGAATGGATAAAATCATTCCTTATAAGAAATAAACTATTAAGTGTTAGATTTGCAGGTAACAGAGAGCAGAAGTAGGTACTGTTATTATTAATAACTTTTTTGATAACATCACTTCTGAACTGGCAGGGGTTTCTCCATCAAACAGTTGGAATTATGATGAAACTAATTTAACTGATGACCCTGTTAATAAACTAGTAATAACAAAGTGAGGATCAAAATATCCTGGAAGGGTAATTCATTCAACAACGTCTGCAACATCTTTGTGTTGTGGTAATGCTGAAGAGCATTTTCTTTCTCCATATATTATATACAAAGCAGATTCTTTTTGAACAACTTGGACAAAAAATGGGCTAAAAGGAGCAACGTGCTCCTTTTGGTCCATTTTCTGCCAAGTTGTATAACCACTCAAAGAATGGATGGTTTGACTCCAGTTGTTTTACAGATTGGTTTGAATCTTTATTGTTACCTGAAAAAAAAAACTTCTGGAAAACATCTTCTAATTGGAGACAATTTGTCGTCACATATAAATACAGTAGCGTCCAAAAATTTGCGGACAGGCAAAAAAATAAAGAATTTTATCTATATTTCAGCACATACTTTACTAAAGCCAACATATTATATACCAATTGAAAAGTTTTCAAATTTACAATTAGGTTTTGAACAAATAATTATTATCTAAATAATATTTTTAAAATGGTATACAAATCAACGGTCTTTGATAAGTTCAAAAATTTGCGCAGAAAGCATTATTTTTTAAAATAGTTAAAATATTTCAACAATATTTGATCAAAATTTTTGCAAAAGCAAAATCACATTAGTATTTTGTAGGATATCCTTTACAATCAAGAATAGCTTGGCATCTATGAGGCATAGAGTCAACTAAATTAATGCAAACGTCAATGGGAATTAACTCCTATAATTCTTTGATTTTATTAAATAAATCAGCATAATTTGTAGGCTTAATTCCTTTCATTTGACGGTCAACATGTTCCCATAGATGTTCAATGGGATTTAAGTCAGGTGATTCGGATGGCCACTTCAAAACATTAACTTTACTCTCTTTAAAAAACTCTAAAACCGATTTAGCTGTATGTTTGGGATCGTTATCCTGTTGGTAAATCCATCCTCGAGGCATTGTATCCTTTGCGTATGGTAACATAATAGTCTTACATATATCTTTGTACTTTTCTTGATTCATATTCTCGGTAATTCTATGGAGAGGACCAACTCCATTTCGGCTAAAACATCCCCAAACCATTACATTACCTCCTCCATGTTTTACGGTAGGCAGTTGGTATTTAGGATTGCACCTAGTTCCTACTGGACGTCGAACATACCTGGTTCCATCGGATCCAAACAGCATAAATTTGCTTTCGTCACTAAAAAGAATTTTTGACCATTTTTGACTACTCCACTTTAGATGTTTTGATGCAAATTCCATTCGGGCGTTACGGTTTTTCAAGGAAACTAATGGTTTTTTAGCTGGGCGTCTTCCAAACAAATTAGCAAGACGTAAACAATGTTTTATAGTAGAAATACTACAATTCATTCCATAGAAATGTCTCATTTGTACGTTTAAATCGACAGCTGTCAAACGAGGATTTTCTTTGCTTAGTCTTACAAGCTTTTTATCCTGATAACGCATTGTTTTGCGTGGCTTCCTGATTGATTTTTATTCTTTGTAGATCTAGTAAGCTCAAATCTCTTCATAATTTGTCCAACAGCAGACTTACCAACTCCATAAAGCTGTGCTGTTTTACGAAACGAGTTTCCATTCTGAACTGATCTCAAGATCAATTTTTTTACTGGAGATGAAATACATTTCTTAGATCCCATGATCTCAATCACTTATATATAAAGTTTTAAAATTATTTCCACAAAGTATTTGTTTATAAAATCAACAAAAAAGCTATTTTGTGGTGATTGCGTTAGTTTGTCCGCAAATTTTTGAACTTATCAAAAAGCGCCATTTTGTTAACCAATTTTAAAATGATAATTAAATATTCATTATTTGCTCAAAACATAATTGTTAACTTGGAAACCTTTTAATTGGTATATAATATGTTGGCTTTAGTGAAATATGTGCTGAAATATAATTAAAATTCTTTATTTTTTTGCCTGTCCGCAAACTTTTAGATGCTACTGTACATATGTACTGTGTTTATAATGCTGCTATTGGATGTTGCATATTTTTGACGAATGAAAGCTCAGTGGAGAAAGATATTAACAACTTGGAAGGAAAGTGGCAAAGGACATAAAGCTCCTTCCCTTCCAAAACACCAGTTTCCAGCATTGCTTAAATGTCTCATAAAAAAAATTAAATAACCTTGTTTTGAAAGTATGAAGGCAGGCTTCTGAAAAACTAGAATGAAGATGTCACTGTAGAAATAGGTTCTCTTGTCAGTGGTTCTTTCATACAACATATAGTTGAAGCTAGAGGTGATGATCATATACCCCTTAATAAAAAACCACATAAAGTTTTCGTTGTCCCAGGAAAAAGTGTATCCATCAATTGATGTAGTTAATATGCAAGCAGCTATAAATACAAATAAGACAAAGAAAAAAATGACTGTTGTAAAAAAGACCAAGGTATCCACTCTTGAACACCAATAATTACAGATAATCTATTGAATAACTCGAGCACTCATAGTTTGATGATTGATGCATAGTTTTTTGAGTTTTTAATATTAAGGTTTCTTTGTGATTTATATCTTAAATAAATTTTTAAGTTAGTTTCAAGCTGTTGATTTTAATATTTTTTTTGCCTTAAAAACATATCACATAATATCCATAAATCAGTGAATATGTAAAATCAATCAATAATTATAATTTGCTTTTAGGTGGTTAAAGTCACCACCACTATAGGGGTGACTTTAAAAAAGGGGTTGAAGAAATAATTTTTTAATTTAATTTTAATTATTTATTTATGTAACATGCACACTTAATGCAATTTATATCAACATACTAATCATTTATATTTAAATTTAAAAAAAAAAGAGGTTTAAAATTTGGCTTAAGTCACTTCGTTTTACAGTATAAAGTTGTGTAACTATAAAGATTATTTAAAAAAATATTTTAAAATAGCTTAATATTAAGCTATTGCTTATTTTATTATGCTATTATAATAGCATAATAAAATAAGCAATAGCTTTAAATAAACAAAATGATAAAAAAATTGAAGTAAAAAAGCTTCATAAGATGTAACTCTTATAACATTACATAAGACAAAATGTTATTGAGGGCTTACAAGTTTAATTAGCAAGAGAAATATTTTTTTTCCCCCCTAAAAAATCCCATACCCATATATTTATTGAAGGAATGAATTTTGAAAATTTTAAATCAAAATCAATTGGTATTTATTTAATTTACTGATATTTAAAGTGTAAATGATTGAGTTTTATCGAAAAATTAATTTTTTTCAATAGATATAAAATATCTTGTTAATAGAGGTTTTACACAGTTCTAAAATACAAAAAATTATGAAAATGGTTATTAAGGTCAATCTTTGTCAAGATGCTAATTTAAATAAATTCTTATAAAATCATGTTCATCTCACTTAAACCAATTCTTATAAAATCATAAAATTTAATTTTATCAATATGTTTAAACCAAATGAAATAAAAATGATTGTTTAAACCAAATTAAGGGCTAAATTTTATAAAGGAAAGTAAAACATGTTTAACTTTCCTTTATAAAATTAATTTCCTTTATGGACATACAAAGGATTTGTATGTCCATTATTTGTACCAGCTTCAAGTGAAGGAATTAAATGGACTTTTTTAACTATCAGGCTCATATAATTAAAGGAGAAAGGCATACACTTGTATGTCTTTCTCCTTTAATTATATTAGCCAGAGGAGGATAGAATTGATGGAGGTTTTTTTTTTGCTCTAGTATGTTAAACAACCGTATTTTGACAAATGATGTAATAGTATATTTAAATAATGTTTTAATTGTAATTGATGAATTATGATTGAAATATTGACAAATTTTGATAAGTTAAAATAAAATAGTATTAGATACAATTGTATAATAGATTAAAGCCCTGACATCAGTTAATCATTTTACAATCCATTGTATTATTCACAACTCTCAAAAAAAGTAAAACAAGCATCACAATGGATACCCCTTAAATTAACCAATCAAAATCAAAAGGATTGAGTTAAGATATTTGAACAGCTGAACACTTATCCTTCTTCAGGAACAATCTATGTGATGTTCTTACAGGGGGTGAGTTGTATTTTTATTTGAGTCAAGTCAGACACAGTTCACCAAATGCTAGTTGAGTTAGTGAATCTGAATGTTTGTGAGCAATAGTAAGATATGCCAGATGCGAAAAACATGTTCTACATCTACTTTAAGACAGGTTTTGTTTATTTAGGATTTATTATTTTATTATGTTGAAAAGGGAATACTGTTTACAAAGGTATAATACAAAGATTGTAACTGGGATTCAAAATTTAATAATTATTAATTCAAAAAGTAATTAAATTGATAACATAGTTTCATTTTAACTTGTTTAATGCTGTTTAACACTGAAAGTTGTTTAATGCTGTTTAACACTGAAAGTTATTTTGCCACAACTTTTTTTTCTCTTCAAAAAACCAATATTTTTGTTTTTTTCTTCAAAAATTAGTTGTTTTTTAAATGGTGGACCACCACTTTAAAGTTTATCTAATGGTGGACCACCACATTAAAGTTTTATCTAACAGTGGACCACCACTTTAAATTTTATCTAATGATAGAACACCACATTAAAGTTCATTTTAATCTTTTAAATTTATCTGTTTAATTTTGTTACTTAATCTATAAAAATCTATTTTATTTAGTTTATCCATAAAATGTTTTCTAGTCTAAAACTTTCTAGTCTAAAATTAATAAAATTTTATATTACATACTAAATGCATAAGTAATAAAAGTCAATATTTATAATTGCTGTAATAAAATTGCTGAAATTTTAAAATAGTCCTTTAAGTTTATTTTTGTTTCAGAAACTAAAAGTTGTGTTTACCTGTAAGTTTGTAAAGCAAAATTATTTTAAAATTTATAGTTAAAAAATGTTGTTTGAATTTACCAGGTATATTTTGATTGCTTGTGATGGTTTATGGAAAGGGTTAACAGTTGCTGAAGCTGTGGATTTTATTGAAAAAATTCTTATGGTGGGTTTTTTTTTCATTATGTTATATTTTTATTATTTCAGTTAAAATAATTTTTTAAAGATTTTTTTTATTTTCTTTGAACAATTGGAGGAATCACTTCACAACTACACCACTTTCTTTAAATAATTGTAACAACCACTTTGCTACTAGACCACATTTTTTAACTTTCTTTGAGTGATTAGAGCTACTACTTTACCACTACACCACATTTTTTAATTTTCTTTGAACAATTGGAGCAACCACTTCACTACTACACCACATTTTTTAACTTTCTTTGAGTGATTAGAGCTACTACTTTACAACTACACCACATTTTTTAACATTTTTATTCATAAAACCTTTTTTAGAAAATTTATTTAAATATCTTGTAAATGTAAAAATTGTCTTGAGAAATGTTTGAAGTAAATACTATTGTAAACAAAATCAAAATTTTTTGTTTATTAAACTTACTTTATAGGACAATTTAATTAAACTTTCAGTAGTAACTTAATATTGGTTTAGTAAATTGTATTTGAAAATTATTAAATTATTATTTTTTTTAAATAATTTTTATCATTATCTTTGCATGTTCTCCTTAAATCTTTCATCATAAAATACACCATTAAGCTTGTAAAAACTTTTTTTTTTATATGTATGTACTGAAGCCCCCAAGTCCCTAAGCTTATTTCTGCACCTGTTGAAAATTTCAGAAATGCAAAAATTTTCACCAGGTATTTCACTGTCTATCTATTTCACTTTAATCTTAATTTTGTTGGTACATTCATTATTGTAATCAAAATCCACAAAATCCCAACATTTATCATTTCTGAGTTGCCAAATAAACCATTAATAAAGGCCATGTTATTGCATAAATTAACTTTGAATATTGCTCATGCAATATTGAAAATAAAGTTATGCAATCATTTTATTTGATTATTGCATTAAATTAAACATGATCATAATGATAACATTTTGTTTTTATATCTCCAAATATAAATATTATTTTAAAATTTAATTAAAGTTAACTGTATTTGTTTTCATATACAATATAAAATAATAACAAAATAAATTTTTTATTAGAATGTAAAATAAATATAATAGTGAAAAAAATATAATAGTGTAAAAATATATGTAGTATGTATATATATATATATATATATATATATATATATATATATATATATATATATATATATATATATATATATATATATATATATATATATATATATATATATATATGTATATATATATATATATATATATATATATATATATATATATATATATATATATATATGTATATATATATATATATATATATATATATATATATCTTTATAGTGTAATCGAAAGAGCGTTTTAATGTAAAAAAAGTCTCTTACGACTACAATTTTAATTACCTCGTCTCTTAAGCTGTATTTGATTGTCGTCGAAATGTCAAAGCAATTAAATTAATGCGGAAGTACATTAAATTTTATTGTTTTTTAAAAAATTTTTAAAAAACCGCAAATATAACGACTAGAAAGTTTTTTTTTTATTAGTGATGTTTTTGTTTTTATTTTATTAAAAAACATTTTTAAAACATGCGTAAATGTTGCTACATCGACTATCTTATAGCCTGACTCGCAACGGAGTGCTGCTACATCGACTGACAAATAGCCTGACTCGCAACGAAGTGCTGCTACATTGACTGACAAATAGCCTGACTCGCAACAGAGTGCTGCTATATAGACTGACAAATAGCCTGACTCGCAATGGAGTGCTGCTACAACGACTGACAAATAGCCTGACTCGCAAGGGAGTGCTGCTACATCGACTGACAAATAGCCTGACTCGCAACGGAGTGCTGCTACATTGACTGACAAATAGCCTGACTCGCAACAGAGTGCTGCTACATCGACTGACAAATAGCCTGACTCGCAAGGGAGTGCTGCTACAACAACTGACAAATAGCCTGACTCGCAAGGGAGTGCTGCTACATTGACTGAGGGTTTGGTTTGGGCAGGCAGTCTATCATTTGAAAAAAAAAAAAAAAAAATTTAAGTTTTTAAACTTTTTCTGGTCTGGTTTATTAACGCGCTCTTTAAAACTACAGTTTATGGGAAACTCTTTTCAACTACCATGCAAGAGTATATATATATATATATATATATATATATATATATATATATATATATATATATATATATATATATATATATATAATATATATATATATATATATATATATATATATATATATATATATATATATATATATGTATATATATATATATATATGTATATATATTATGTATATATATATATATGTATATATATTATGTATATATATATATATATATATATATATATATATATGTATATATATTATGTATATATAATATATATATATATATATATATATATATATATATATATATATATATATATATATATATATATATACATAATTAAATAAAATTAAGTATTATTATTCAAATGTGCTATCACAAAACTATTTTGCACCTAAGTTATGTCAAATAAATTGATTTCAAATGACGGCAAAAGGTGGTCTATTAGTTTGAGACTTGAAAAACTTTGTTCAATTGTATGTATGTTATCAATATAAAGTTGGTTTATTATCTGTGGACGTCGCATAGTCTCTTATAATAATTTTTACAAGCTTAATGATGTATTTGATTTTATGTGAGAAAAGTATTACATTTATCCCATTCTAAATGTTTATGTAATAATAGTTTCTCAGTGGGACTACATTAGTGTTACAAACTTGTTTTTATGTTATTACATCTTAAAATATCTATTTATAAGATTTTGTAAATGTTTTGATGTAATTTATATTTTTATTTAGTGTAGTTGTATTCATGTTTTGAATTATATTGAATTTTGTTCATATATAATACAAGAAAACTCTAAGTCAGCTAATCCTAATATTTTGAATGTAGTTTTAAATGCAAATAATAAGTTATCTACTTTCATAAAGCATCTTCAACCAAGGTTGCACATTTTCAGAAACTCTAAATTTTGTTTCAAAAAGAATAACAAACTATGGCTACAAAATTAACTGATTCTTCCAACAGCTTCCATTGATGAAGATAACTCTTATCCCATCTGTAGTATCTGTCAGACCCCATGTGAATTTTGATACATCAAGTAGTAAAAGAAAGAAAAAAAGATTGGCACCTTTAGTTGTATAAAGCTAAAGCTGTTTTACAAATATCAGAATACGATGAGTTTTGGTGTAAAAAATAATTTCAAACCAAAATACTTATATTA